TCCTGAGCACTAGCCTTCTTGAGAGAGCTGCCATAAAAAAGAATGGTGTAATACAAATGGACTCAAATTCTCCAAGAATGAGTAACTTATTTGGGATATAACACATAAGTCATTCAGTTGGTTTTCTAAAAGAATATCATGCAGATGATTCAGAAGAAAAATAAGCAAGATTCCATCACACAAGATGATGGAAAGGACAGTAGCCAAAGGATGGCAAGGCTATAAGAAAAGCACCATTACATTGGCCAGTTGTAAATTTTCTTAGAAATTTATGCATGGCATTCCTAAAGAACCCTGTGTGGCTGTACTCATGAGTGCTCTTGTAGTTTTTTACAGTACATAAAAAATACATATAACCAAGAACTTTTTTTGCCAGCAAGAATCATGCCTAGAGTCAAAATCCAAATGGTGCTATCCAGAACAAATAGGGATCATTTGTCAATCATTATGTCTAGAGTAAGGAATAGTTGGGTCTTTGCTTTGGGTGGTCCTGCTGGCAGTAGCCAAGAGAAAGTCAGGTTCCTCGACTCTGACTTTGCTTCTGCCCTTTCGCTTGTGAGGAGATATTTGAAAGCAAGGAAAGAGCTAACTAATCTATGTGGATTCAAGTCTTCTCACCTGGTTAAAGCTCATTCTAGCAAGTTCACACATTTTTCAAATGAAATAGATAAACCATTTTCAAGTAATCTTTGAGATATGTGGAAGCAGAGAGACCTGAAAAGGCTAGAGATGAGTGAAGAACAAGAAGCTTTATACAGAAGAGGAGCCACCAGAAGTATACATGATGATAACTAGAAGTCAAGGCCAGGCCAGATCTTTGCATGATGGGAGAAACAGCAGCAGTTCCCACAAAGCCAGCACAGGATCTCTGAGAGCCTACTAGTCAGGTTGCTTTCCTTTTCTTCTTGTACCGTGTCACTCACTGATCAGGGAAATATGATAGGGATAATGTATTTTGATTTGTGGACAATGTGGGAACATGATAGCCATATGTAGGCTTAGACATAGGCTGATTGACTATGTAAAGTTGACATCAACTCATGAATGACTGTTCATGAATTGATATAAACCCCAGGGGTGTCCCCAATGCAGATCTCTGTCCACAGTCATCTTCAGTTCAATATTTTTATCAATCAAAGATTAAAAATATAATAAGTGTATAAAGGGAAAATGATGACAGAAGCTGAGAGGAATACTGGATAGCTTGAATGAAACAAGCAGGGCATGAAAGTACCAGCCCCCTGCCCCCATTGTGATGCTGTCTTATCTCTTAAAAAGCAAAAGCTTAGCTAATTTGGCGTGCAAAAATGGTATATCAGTGTTTTAATTTACATTTTTCTTACTTGTAAGAAAGCAATTAATCCAAGATTTATCGACTCTCCAATCACATTTTATATATAACTTTGCATAGAATTTTCTCATTTTGAAACAACTCCAGACACGCTCAGCCACCTCACCTTTGACAAAGGAGCCAAACACCCTCGCTGGAGGAAAGATAGTCTCTTTAATAAATGGTGCTGGAGAAACTGGGTTTCAACGTGCCAAAGACTAAAACTAGACCTATATCTCTCACCATGCACTAAACTAAAATTGAAAAGGATTAGAGATCTAAATATAAAAACAGAAACACTGAACCGGCTGGAACAGAGTTTAGGTAGAACTCTTCAAGACATTGGGGTAGGAAAAGATTTTATGAACAAAACCTCAGTTGCCCATGAACTAGCACAAACAATCAACAAGTGGGATCTCTTTTCACTAAAAAGCTTCTGCACAGCAAGAGAAATCACCAGCAGTGTGAAGAGACAACCCACAATATGGGAAAAAACTTTCACCAGCAGTCCCTCAGATAAAGATCTACTATCTCGAATCTATAAAGAACTTAAAAAAATCAGACCTCCCAAATTTAAAGACCCAATCTGAAAATGGGCATCTGAAATGAGCAGACATTTCTCACACAAAGAAGTAGAAATGGCAAATAAATATATGAAAAAATGTTCAACATCACTGGTCATTCAAGAGATGCAAATGAAAACAACACTGAGATTCCACCTCACTCCAGAAAGAATGGCTGCTATTATGAAATCAACCAACAACAAATGCTGGCAGGGCTGTGGGGAAAGAGGAACCCTGCTCCACTGCTGGTGGGAGTGTAGACTGGTGCAAGCACTGTGGAAATCAGTATGGAGATACCTCAAAGAATTAGGACTGGAAGTCCCATTTGACCCAGCTATTCCCCTGCTGGGGATCTTCCCCAAAGAATTAAAAGAATCATACCACGGTGATATATGTGCACCCATGTTCATAGAAGCACAGTTTGTAATAGCTAAAACTTGGAAACAGCCCAAATGCCCATCAACTGGAGACTGGATCAAGAAAATGTGGTTTTTTTAAAAAAATAAAATGGAGTGCTACTCAGCCATCAAAAATGAGAAATTAGAGACATTTATTGCTAAATGGATGCACTTTGAGGTGATACTCTTAAATGAAATAAACAGGACACACATGTGTAAATACCGAATAGTTTCTCTAGTGTGAGAAACTGAAAGTGTAAATAAGGACTAAAAGGTATTATACATAATGTGAAATAGGAAGAAAATGGGCAAAGGGGAAGGGGAAGTGGGAAGGGTAGGGGAAAGGAAAGAAGGGAATGGAATTAATATGAGAAAATGAAAAAATGGAAACAAAGTCTAAGTAAATAGGGAGGGATGGAGGGGTTGAAGGGAGGGCAGGGGAAGGGGGAAAAAATAAGAACCAAGAGAGTATGTAAAGGTGCGTATCTCCAATGATGAATGTCATTATATTGTACACCTAAAATGTACCAATAAAAGGATATATAAAAAAAGAATTTTCTCATTTTGCTTTTGAGATATTTATTTTTTCTTATTAATTTGAAGTGCTGTCTATATGCTTATTATTCCAAATATTTTACCCAGTTTGCCATTTACCTTTTAACCTTGCTTCTAATAGTTTTCAATGTATGAAGTATATGCTTTGTAATGTAGCTGTCTCTCATTCTCTTATTTTCAGACTTTTGCATTAATAAATAGCTTTAGAAAATTATTATCCTCTTTAATATTTCATATTCACTAACATTTTCAAATTCTTTTGGTTTCAATTTAAGTCTTTAATCCATTTGGATTTTATTTGGTATATAAGCTGTAGTGATCAAAATTATTCTAAGTGGTTAGCCAATTTTCTCTACACTAGTTATAAATAATTTATCACTTCCCCAGTGCTTTGAAACAGTAACACTAATTAAAACAGCTAACATTTGCTTCTTACTCTATGCCAGCCACTGTTCTAACATGTATTAACTCATTAATTTTGCACAACAACCCTGTATAGTAGGTACTGTTGCTATCATTTTCATGTTATTGTAGCATCCCCAAATGCAGAAACTGAGGCACAGACTGACTGAATAACTTCCTCAAAGTCACACTGTTGTAAAGGGGTAGTGTTCAAGTGAAGACAGGAACAATCTGACTCACAACCTGACTCAAGTGTTCAAGCATTGAAATGATATAGTTGACTTTGTTTCTAGGCTTTTCATTTTGATCCAGAGTATCACTCCTGTGTTGATACTGCGGTGTCTTAATATTTACTAATTCAAGTCATTTTCCTAATGTGTATTTGTATGTGTATTATATAACTATATATATTTAATATATACAAAACGAATTTCTAATTTAATCACTGCTGTTCCTTCCACTTTATAACCTGTCTTCTTAAAGTGTCAAGGCCCTTCTGAATACTGAAAGCAGTCAAGCAATGTAATCCACATTTTCTGTCTCTTGACAACACTTTTTGAGGCAGCAGGCTTTTCCTTTGATCTTTAGGACTGGGCGCACTCTACAGCTGCTCTTGCTGGTGCCAGCTAACCTGCAGAGTCCCAGTAGAAATAAACCACTTTCAGCCTGGTGGTAGAGACTGGATCTGTGCTTAACCACTTCATGTCTTGGTTTTCCTTTTGTGAAAGGGAATAATGATAGCACCCAGTATAAAAGGTGGTTAGCAGACTAAATGAGTTAACATTTGTGAGGTGCTTAAAGTGCTCAATAAGTGTTTGCAAATTAAAACAGAGCCTTTGCTGTAGACTAGTGCATAAGCTCTGACTCAGTCACTTGGCCCAGACGTGCAACTCAAATGTGGGTTTTTTTTCAGATTTATAACCAGGGATCTCCCTGGAAAGATATGTGATGCTCTCCAAATAGAATGTACACCTTTCAAAGTGACTTTGCATCAGTTTTCTTACTTTATCCTTGTAACAGCCTGCTGAGCAGAACAGAGTGGTAATATCCTTTGTTGAGATAAGGGGAAAATGACAGGTGACTCGGTTCAACAGAAGATATTTGTTTACTACACTTGACCACTGGAACTAGTCAACATTTTTTGAATCAAAATTCAATTGATAACAAAATGACTTCTTAATCTAGGCAAAGGAAAACTTCCTGTAAAAATCTGTCAAGTGTAATTGATGGGAAATTGACAGGGACAAGGGACCAACACAAAGCAATGCATTGTGTAGTATTTGTTTGCTTAAAATCTCAGCTTTTTTTTTTTGTTGTTTTTTTTTTTTTTGGTGCTCGGGATCAAACTTGGGTCCTTGCACTTGAGAGGCAGGTGGTGGAACCACTGAGCTAAATCCCTAGCCCTAAGCTCAGCTTTTTTTTCTTTTTTGGTACTGGGGATCGAACTCAGGACCTTGCGCTCGCTGGGCAGGTGGTGGAACCACTGAGCTAAATCCCTGGTCCAAGCTTTTTTTAATCCCTTGTAACTTTGAAGTTTTACCTTCCCTTTCAGAAATACCATGGAACTATCTGGAGTCCACATCTGTAGGACCAACTCAAGGGCCACAAAGAAACTGTGGGGCATTCTTGGGATTCTTTGTTATATGTGGCCCAGCTCTGGGGTCAAGTGGACAGAGCATCTTTGGGTGTGTGCCTTCCGGGAGGGCCATGGTGTGATGCACTGTGGGCTCAATGTGTGGTTTCCTCCCACAGATTCATCACTCACACTGGAGCAGATGGTGGGTGTTGGACTGGGCTCCATAGCTTTTGTGATGGCTCTGGCATTCCTCTCCTTCTTAGCAGTGTGGTACGTGGGACTGTTGTCTGAGAAATGAAGTGGTACAGAGGGGAGGAGGGAATGGGAGTCATGCAGAACAGCTGGGGATGAGGAGAATCAGAAGGGTTGGGAGTGGAGATTGTCTTGGCTCAGTAGAGCATAGTCAGCTAGTCCTGCAGCTCGGGGTAGGAAGGAAGATGCACTCTTGACCCAGGAAAAGAGCAGGAACAGCCATAGCTGCCCTGGTGACACACAGCAGGTGGCTGGTCTCATGCTATTTCCCGTCACAGCCTCCCATGAGCTACACTTAGAGATGCACAGTGAGAAAGACAAAATGTGTTCATGACCTGTCTCTTCTCTTTCCCTTTCCATGTCTAGATGGCAGATGATACTGCATGGGCAAAGATATACTGCTATGGAGCAGATATTCTGAAAGCTTCTCAGGTGCCTGCACAAAGACCCTGTGTATGTCCATCCAGAGGGTGTGTGGAACTTACTGCATTCCCAGCTTGGCCTCATTCCTACATTCAACATGGTGGCTATGTCAATGGATTCCCCCAAAAGGAGAAACTGAGGAATTATTAACCTCTTTCCTGCTTCAGGACCAGTTCTATGTCCATCAATTTGAGACCTTTGATATCCAATGTCATATTGACTACAGGCTGTGGATCATGAGAATCAGGTCTGAGTGATACCTGAGAGTCAGCTCCTCTAGACACCTGATACACCATAGTCTCTGCATCCTCCTCTGTAGCATCTCTGTTAATCAGAACCCATTCTTCAGGACCTGTTCCTCTCTAAGAAGCAATAAGATAGGCTTAGGTTTGGGCTAGAATTTGATTTTATGAAGGGAGACATTGAAAAAGATATTGGCTCAACTCCAAGGCTCAGTAAGAAATGAAGGGTGAAAAAGGAGGCTTGTGGCTTTTCCCCCTCTTTTTTATTTTCTAGGCTAGGCCCAGAATATTCTAGAAATTTCTAGAATATTTTCTAGAATAAAAAGTGTGCAGAAGAAATAGAGGGGTTGTACATTGCACAAGGTCAGGGTGTAACATGAATGTGGTCCTGAATTGTTGCACCTAAAAATCTTAAAAAGTAGAAAGCTGTTTTGTGTGTTTTCCACTGCTGGGTTTTGGTGGAGGAGGAGGCTGAGTGGCCTAGCACTGTGGTTTGGATATGATTTGTCCCCATCAAATCTCACATTGAAATTTGATTGCCATTTGCACTGGTGTTGGGGAGGTAGGGCCCTTAAGAGGTGATTAGAAGGTCATCAGGAGGGATTAATGCCTTTCCTGAGTGTAACTGAGTTCTCAGGTTGTTATAAAGTGAATCTACCCCTGCATGTTGTCTTTTCCACATATTCCCACTTGCCCTTCTTCAATCCACTGGGCTTTAAAATGGCACGAGGCCCTCATCTGAAGCTGAGAGGGTATCCATGCCATGCCCCTGGACTTCCCAATCTATAGAACTGTGAGTCAAAATAAACCTCATTATTCTGTTATAAATGATCTAGGCTCAGGTATTGCTATAGCAACAGAAAACAGATGATGACATCTGGGCTTGTGAGCAGATGAGGATAAAACAGGAACAGGTGGAAACTGTCCATAAAGCTGTTCCATACCAGGCGTAGTGTGGCACATTCAATTGGGAAAGGTCAGAGAGTTGGAGATGATATCTTGACATTTGTATGTTCAGTGTCAGCTGCCAGCCCTGGCCGCCGCCAGTGTTAGGCAGCAATAGGAGTAGTTGTCCTTTTTTCCCTAAGGTACTAACCTGGACTATAATTTATGATTAGCATTTAAAACCTGTCTTGCTCTCATCTTAGGTGAATTATAGAGTAGAGTTCTCAATAGACTAATACAAATAGGTTTCTACTTTTTAATATTTCTAGGTACAACAATTCACAATCACATGATTTTTCACAGCTCTTGAACTCAATTTGGAATCATTACAGATTTTTATAGCATAGGGCAGGTCCTCAGATGAAAAAGAAAGAATCTAGGGCCATCTTTAACAAAAGAGAAAATCCACCCTCTCCCCATTTTGTTACCAGTTCTGTAAACATGCTCTGTTTCTGTATCTCCCTAATTTCCCACTCTGGAATTAACTGAAACAGTTGTCCACATGGGGATACAGTTGCCCCCAAAATAACAGTTGTCTGGATAGGAACTTAGCATAACTGTCACAGAAAGAAATCCTGCTTGCTTATTATCAAAACTTTTGGTTTAAAATAACTTAGTATTAAGTAAAATAGCAACTTCTGGGTATAGTGCACAAATATAAAAACAGTTCATGTACAGTTACTAAAATAGCAAAAACACTGACTTTGTCATTTCTTCTGACTGTTCCAAATTATAATTCAGAGTTACTCAGTGTTAATGCATAACAGAAGCAGGTGCTGAGCATTTGTGAAAAGGATGCTTAATTTTCTTGCAGTTCTTTTCTGATAGTTTTCTCATAAACATGATGGCAGCTTTAAGTTCTCTAGATTTGTCTGGTAGCTTTACCTTAATACTGATTTTTTCCCCCTCTACTGTATTCCTAGCTAAAAGGGAAAAAAGGGTCTCGGGACACTGATGGTCTTCCTGGAAGAATGTAGGGTCTGTCTGTCCAAGGTGCACTTCTGTTTATGTCCTCAGCTGTACATCAGGCACGTCTACATGTGTTTTTTTCATTACATCCCAGAACAGTTCTGCCTGTTAGGGTCAGGGTGATGAGTTTCTTTTTAGAATGGTGACATGGGTTCAGACACATCTGTGCCTTGAATTATGGGCCAAGTCTTCAGACAGCAAGACTAGTTTTCTTTCTTGGAATTTGCTCGCCCTTGAACTAGCTATTGAGCTAATTTTTGGACAGCCTTTTTGGTTCTTGCCAAAGCCAAGCCTTTAAATTTCCAAACAGCTTTATATATATTTTAAAGTATTACTTTTATCATAGCACATGTGTCTTTTATATCTGTCTGTTCGTTGGAAGGTATCTCACCCATCACTTCTATAAGGGACCACAAACAGCAAAGCAAATGGATGCAGGTTGATGAGGAAAAACAGATAATAGTTTGTTCTCTAACTCAAGACCTGGAGTTGGAGCTGAATACTTAAGACCAGAGCAGCAGTGATTATCTTGAAATTCCACATTAGCTTGGAATAAAGTTAACATTTAAGTTGATTTTAAAGGATGTAAAAAAGAATTCTCAGTGCTTCTTTTTTTTTATCGCTAATCTGACATTCTGATTTCTAAACCTTCTGTTTTTCTATTCTGGTCTTCTAAGAGAAAACTGCTTGTTACAGCAATCGATCAATCAGTGGCTAAGGGCCTTTTGCCTACTGTACTCATTGAGTAAAGCCAAGTGCCTGCTTCTAAAGGGGAAGGACAGTGTGGCTTTTTTGGTGCTCAGGTTTGTGGGCTGCTGGTAATACAATGAAGCAAATCAATTTAAAAAGCAATGTATGCTCTTGTTGCAGAGACCTGATGCTTTGATGGAAGTGGTGTGTATCTCCATATCCATACTTTTTTGGCACCTAAAAAAGGGTGCCAAATGAAGTCAAATTATGTGTGTCATTTTGTAACATGATTTTACTCATCAAAATTTCCTGGATATGTTTTCCTTGTCAATAATGACTACCTTACAAATGTTAGTTACATTTGTAAGGTAGTCATTATTGATAATTAGTTAGTGATAACTAATTTAGTAACATTTAGAGTATTACCAGATGTTCACTATCCATATTCAAGTCTGTGTCAATATATGCAATTACCACTGAGGTTAAATTCCTAGAAGTGAAGTTTTTGAAATGAAAACCATATATACTTGGCCGGGGATTTAGTTCAGTGGTTCTGCCGCCTACCTCGCAAGCACAAGGACCCGAGTTCAACCCCTGGTACCAAAAAAAAAGCACAAAAGCTTCAGTACCACTGGCCATTGTTGATATTTTTCATCTTGATTAATCTGGTAGGAGAAAAAATGATGTTTTAATATTTTGTTTGCTTCTCTCTGACAGTTTTGCATGCTGGTTGGCCATTCATAACTGTCTTTGTGAATGGCCTTTTAAAAAAAATCAGCAATGTACTGGGCCTGTTTTTCTTTTATGGATTAGAAAAAGTGCCTTATATCATTGTAGTTTTAATTACCTGCCATATGTTTTGTGAACAATTTTTATAGCTTGTCAGTTTTAGAAAGGATAACTTTGCTTTTCTTAAAACCTTGTTTGTGTTACATTTTGCCACGTGAAAGTTTTTAATTTGTGCAGACAAATTTATTATCAGTCTTTTTCCTTACGTATTTTGCTTCTGGTGCCATGCTTTGAAAGATCTTCCAATGTCAAAGTAACAAATAGTTGGGTTTTTTTTTTTAACATTTAAACCTTCAATCTATCTGAAATTTATTTTAGGATAGGAGTGAGGTTGCTGGGGATAAAGAGTGAAGAGTCTCTTTTATTGTTGTTAAATGGTTTAGTTAGTTGTCCTATATTCATTGATTATTTTCCCCTAGTGATATGATCACATAATGAATCATGTATAAAAGTCTGTTTCTGAAATTTCTGTTGTTCTACTGATCTATTTCTGTACCAGTACCACCTGTTGTAAATTTAAAGTTTTTTTAGTACCAGCTAAATGTAAGTTACTCCTCTGTTTATGTTAACTCTCAGGGTGCTCTCAGCTTTTATTGCATAGTTATTTATGTATAGGTATTTATTATACATAAACCAAAGAATTATTTCATCAAACTCTCCATCTTATTTTTTTGGAGGATATGTTAAATAAAGAGTACTCCTGTCCAGAACTTGGTGTATGTCTCCATTTAATTGTCCTTGTGTTCCTGTCTTATAGAGTATTATAGTTTTATAGAGTCTTATATAGTCTTATATAAGTCTTATAGAGTGTTATAGTTTTCAGCTCACAGTCTATAACTGTATTTCATTGTGTATGTCTGCATAGTTCATACTTTGTTATCCTAAACTCTTGAGTCACTGCCTCAGGTGGCTGCCAAGCCTCTTACTACTGGTATTAGTGGGAACTCTTGTCCTCTGGCCATCTGCTATGCTTTGGTTCCTCTAACCTGGTATGGTGGTGCATGCTTGCAATCCTAGCTACCTGAGAGGCTGAGGCAGGAGAATCCTAAGTTTGAGGCCAGCCTGGACAACTCTTTGTGAGTCTGTCTCAAAATAAAAAGGGCTAATGATGTAGCTCAGTGGTAGAGTACTGTGTAGCATGTGTGAGGCCCTGTATATCTAATCCCTAATACAGAGAGGGAGGGAGGGAGAGAGAGAGAGGGAGAGAGAGAGAGAGGAGGGAAAGGGGAGGGGGGGAGGGGGAGGGAGAGAGATTCTCCCACACAATTACTTTGTAGTACTTAACCCATAGAAACCCGTTTAACCCGTAGAAAGCTCATAGATCCTTGGCATGCCAAGTGGAGGATAGCTTGGCCATCACAGGTAAGTCCAGCTACAGACTAACTTTCCTAACCATTAGATCCTTTGTCTTCCAGTTGGTGGGCATGCAGCTTGCTTCTTTCTCTTTTGCTCTGTCACGGGGGCCATAGCCTCAGCTGCTTGACCCTTGGGTTTCTTATCCCCGGAATGAGACACCAGGCCACTGTGTCCTCTGTGTTGATATGGAGAGATCGCTAAGATGTATTGTTCAATGAGAAAAATAAGATGTATAATAGTGTATAGGGTATGTTATCTTTTATGTAAGAAAGGGTGAATGAAAATATTCAGTTTTACATAAACACTAGAATAATAATGAACTAATAAAATGGCTATAAATAGGTGGACAAAGTGAGAATGAGTCTTTTCAAGGATTTTTTTGTTTAAATTTAAACACGTTAAGTGTATTTGTGTTAGTCACACTTTTGTCCCTGGAACAAAATTCTTGACATGCACAACTTAAAGATGAAAAGTTTTACTTTGGCTCATGGTTTCAGAGGTTTCAGTCTGTGGTGAAGTGGCTCCAAAGCAGGAACTATGGTGGAAGGGAAAGCTGCTCACCTCATTGTAATTAGGAAGCTGGTGTGGGGGACTTTATAGTCACATTCCTACTGACAAACTTCCTACAACTGGACCCCACCTCCTTATAGCTCATTCTGCTCTGAACTCATGGAGTGATCCATGGATGAGGTTACTGCCTGCATCGTCCAACTGCCTTCCAAAAAGCCCCACCTCTGGACCCATAAAACCTTTGGGAGGACTGCCCATGCCCTACCGAGGTCCTGACTCGCACAGAACACACCGAATCAGCCAGCTGCAGACAGGCAGGTCTGTGCACGCCCTACCGAGGTCCTGAGTCACACGGAAGACACCGAATCACCCTGCTGCAGACAGGCAGCCACCTGATTCCACACTACAAAGACTCAGAGGACACCAGACCACCAGACCAAGGTACTGAGTCCCACTGTTCCTGGCCCAGAGGTAGGGGCTTCTGAG